GGGGTCATTCTCCTAGCTTATAATGCACTTAATTGCAAATTAATTTGATTCGGGTACGACCTCAATCAAACCCTCCAAGGTGTTAGAGGAGACTATAAGTAGCTCGGTAGAGCGAACCAGTATAAAATTAATTGTGTGATTATTAATTTATTCTTACTAAACACTTTTGTCACAAATCCTGTAGTTGCATATTTCTTAAACCGCTACAAAAGCTCTCATCACTGAACACCTTTTTATTAAGATCTAGTTTTATCAAAACATTGCAGCAAACTGATTTAAATTGTTGAAAAATATTTTCTTTAAGAACTTATAGTTTAAACTGAATACTCAAGTCAAGCATTTAACAACTTACATAAACTTTTCAATCCTCGACAAAGTTGTTAAACTATGTCCTTTGCAAAAAGTTTTCCTATAACAATATTTAACCCACCCCTCTTGCTCTCTCTCCCCTTCTAGTGTTTTTCCAGGTACTTGACAATCTACAAATTAAGTTGAATATATATTAGTTGCAGCAACTACGTACAAATCAAGCCATTTGGCTTAATTTATGATGTAAGACAACTACATGATGAACTTATTGTCATATAGGTTGATAATAAGTCATTCATTGCAATTGCAAAGAATAATAGCATGGTAGAACAAAGAGATATGATTAGAGAAGCAAAGGAATTAAATGAAATCATCCTGGAGCGTTGCAATCCAAAAAATCATATTACAATAAATATATCAATAAATATTAAAAGATAATATTTGTCAAATTTTTAATCTAGCAAATATCTTCTCAAATATTATTATATTTGTACAACAATCAAATATATCTTGAAGATATTGGATTATTTAGAAGATAATTGGAAGATTACAACATCGAAAAAACCTGAAACAAAGTCCAATCCAATTTCTATATAAAGAGACTTAAGGAAACACATTAGGGGGCTTAGGAATCATTTGGGGGTTCAAATTTCGTCCTCTCTCTTCTCTCATGTTTCCACCCTCTGTTATTCTATTCTCATGTTATTTCAACATTCTATGAAGTGTTAAGCCTCTAGGATTGATTTTGCTGTAATTTCTTAACTGGATTGTGAGGTTAGATGAATAAATTTGTTTGTTCCTTTGATTTTTTTTTGTGATTTATTTTTATCTATGTCTTTTGCTTCTTAAATCAAGTAAAAGTATTTATTTTTACATTATAGCAAGTAAGCATTGTGTTAAATCTACATAACATATCAATCATATGAGTCTAAGGGTTTTTAATTTTAATTGCAAATTTACTTTGATTAAATTTAGAAACTTTCATGTGATTGAATGGGTTTTTGCCAATGATTGAGAATGTACTTTGATTAGTGATAAAAACTTTAACAAGAATTAATCAAGAATCTACATAACATATCAATCATGAGTCTAAGGATTTTTAATTTTAATTGAGAATTTACTTCCATTAAATTTAGAAACTTTCATGTGATTGAATGAGTTTTTGCCAATAATTGAGAATGTATTTTGATTAGTGATAAAACTTTAACAAGAATTAATCAAGAATGTGCTTTAGTTAATTAGTTTTTTACTTGATATAAGGAGTAAAAGAATAGACATGATTAGAAATAATAGTATTTAATTGAGAATGTACTTTGATTAAATTTACTATTATTAATCTACAAAGTTCTTGCTTTTAGTTGAGAATGTATTTTGGTTAAAGTGAGAATGCCAACAAATTAATTGAGAATTTACATTGATTAATTTGAAAATCTAAGATAATAATTAATTGAACAATAATCTTTAGATAACCAATGATGAATCCTATTTCGAAAAAACAGTGAAATCAACCTATTTTCTTTATCATTGTTTTTAAATCTTTTTATAAATTATTTATTTCTATCTTTTGTAATTTTGTTCGTTAATCTTTTATTTTCTTTTATTACTTCTATTATTTTATTTGACTAACCCCTTTTGTATAGTTTTTATAAAAACTAATTTGTTAGAAACCAATTTTGTGTTTGTTAGGAGACAACTTAGGTTTGAGTTTATCCTTCCTATTTTGTTGGCTACTATCTTAGTCATATTGAAGTTGTTATAGTTTAGTAGTATTAATTTGATTACGTTAACAACAACGTTATCACCTCCTTTCTTCCATTGTGTATATTCAATAGAAAAAATCTATTCTATGTTTTTCTCTGGTTTTATAGTCTTTATATTATTTTATAACATACTTGATTAGGATGCCACAAAATGTTACTGGTTGGACAAATAGAGGGACTTGAAGGGAAAGACTTAAGCTTGGCTATAAATTTATTTTAGAATACAAGGTAGGCTAATAGTGATAAATTAGACGATTGAAGGAATATTTATGGGTGGCCCCAAGAATGATTGTAAACTAGCAAAGGGTAAGATGGATGATTAGGTCCTCTAAAATCTTGTTGATGAGTCCATCAAAAGAATTTACAACCATGACATGATTCAGATCTACTCCAACATCCTTGGACACCTTAGTTTATGCATATAGTTAAGGTTTTATCTCCCTATTTTCTTTTCATCTAACATCCATTATGATAATCCACTAATATAGTTTACCGATAGTTTGACTAACCACCAAGCTAAGATAGTCAAAAAAAATTTCTACTAGTCTGACAACAAGTGGCGCCAGGGTGGATGACAAAAGGTAGGTATTGTTCAACTTAGCTTGGAATATATTAAAAAAAAGTTTAAATCTCTTAATGATTCTCATATTTGTTAAAGAATCTCAAGTGAGTCCTCTTATTAAAAGCGGTCTCGATTGAGTCCTAAATTTTGTAAAATCGTAACAATTAAGTTCTTTCCGTTAAGTGGTTAGAAACAGCGTCAAATTCTCTTGATGTAGTGATGTTGATCGGGATCATTTTATTACGTGAAAAAATTAAATTATGATTTGTAATTCCCCATCCAAATTAGGGTTCTGATGCAGGGGAACTCATCTTCTTCAACACGTGTAACTACAGAACCTTCCACTACTGTCATCTCCATTGGACCACCGCAACTTCACCATGTTTGTTTCAATCACCACCGCAAGCAGCATCTTTCACACATCACACACCCATCAACTTCAACATATAATAGCACCATCGTTTAGCCACCGTGACGAAACCCTAATCATATAAATCGCGAGTTCCACCACTGCACTATAATCGTGTCTTCATGAAGACCTAAAAACCAGAAAACTCAGATTGTGAAAAGCCACATATCGTAACCAAAACCCGAACCAGAGAAGCGCCACTACAGAAGTTTTCAAGTCTCTTACCCTTTTTTTTCCCCTCATTTCTCACTCATGGGAATTAAAGAAAAAAAGAGGAAAATCAAACGAAAAGAGAAAAAAGGAGTGAGAATAACATGAACAAACGCTCTGTCTCTTTATCCACTGTCGTCCCCGCCTCCATCGCCCCAACTTGTAGATCAAGGCAACAGCTTTCGAATGTGCCCAAAAACCAGAAGTTTCTCAAGAGTGAGAACAACAACAATTAAAGACATGGATCCTCCTTTGCCTGTGGTGAAAAGAGTTCCCGAGTTGGAGGAAGGAAAAAAATTGGATAGTCTCTGGAAAAGAAAATCGGGTCCTGCACTCAAAAGTTTACAGCTTCAACAGATTCACCATCCAAGGATTTGTCATCAACCTCCAACTATTTGATACCTCTGAAACACAATCGAATCCACAAATCCAATCCTAGATTACATTTTTTTATTGTATTTTGTTTTTGTGCTCTCATATTGTTACGTACATCACCGTATACAATGTAAAGGGTTTTCTTTTCTCTTCTAATTTTCTAGGCTTCCCAGATAAAGTTAGTACATCTCTAATTCTCTTTTCATTTTTCTCTCTCTCTAATCCTATTTGGTTCAAAAAGCCCTAACATAAAGAAAAATAAAATCTTTAATCTATTATTATTTTAACATATGACCAATTAAATTTTATCATGTCAAAATCTTTTAATTTAAATAATAATTCTACATAACAGAATAATTAACATCAGCATATTTACTATGCAACACTTCAACATTTGTTAACATTGTATGTCAACCTTTAATAAAAAAGATTTAATTATTACGATTTTTCAAAATTTAGAACTTAATTAAGATTGTTTTCAACAAGAGAACCCAATTAAGATTCTTCAACAAATATGAAAACCATAAGACGATTTAAACCTAAAATAAATAAGTGCACAGCAACTTTTACTTTCTGAAATACCAAACCGAAATGCATCCACATCTCACGCACCCATCTTGATCTCATCATCTTACCACTTTTTCTCAACCCATCTTCCAGGCATGTGACCACCAAGCTTGGGAAGGAGTGGCTAATGAAGGAGCTTTACAACGAGTTTAGTGGATAAGAAAGGAGGTGAAAGCTTGAGGGAGAAAGCTTGAGGGAGAAAGCTGCAATTTTGAATCTGCACCTCTTTGTAAAGGAAACGGCAGAAACGGAAGTGCGATGAAAGAGGTGCGGCACTAGGTACAAGGGCTGGGCACAAAGAAGAGAATAAAATGTTCATTTTATCAAAACCTGTAAGGGTGCAGTAAGAAAAATTAAAAAAAGGTTAAAGTGTAAACAGAGACTATCAAATTTCTCCCTCCACCCCGTAAAAAACTTCTGAAATAAAAATTCCGTAATAGGAGAGGGTGACTGTTTTCAGGAAAAAAATTTCCAATGCTGTTTATAGTGTTCCGGAAAATACAATCCAGAAGTGATAGGATACTGGAAGAAAAATGACAGAGTACATAAAGCAATAGCCTGAACGAGCAGCGGAAATTTTTCATATTTATTTTTGAGATATTAGACCACAGTTTAAGCAGCTTATTATAAGTGATTACCTTTTATTAACTTCTTGAGAGAATTTCTTAAAAATAAGTGTATTTTGAGAAAAATAATCACTTCATTCAACTAGCTTTACTAAGAAAATTTTTGAAAAAGAATTATCAATTTCTCGAAATTAATACTAGGACACTGATAGAATAAAACATAAACGGGAGAGATATAGATCAGGCAATTCTCGTATCATTCAACCCTGTCTGCCTGAAGCATAGAAACTCAAGAATCTCCTTTCCCTGGTAATCTAAATATAGAACAATTGAGACCGTCTATAAAAACAGTCAGGGTACATTTTAACTAAAAGCCACAATAACAAGGTACCACTCTACAACAATGGTAAATGCCATGCTATTCAGCTCCAAACCAAACAGAAACCCAGTTGTCTTACAAAGTTAATCCATCCTTCCCTTTAAAATCTTTTCCTTTACTTCAGTTGGTGTACTGCATAAGACAAATCAAAGATACCAATAAGCCCTTGGAATAAATTAAAAGGCATAAAACCAAACCTAAATAAATGGCATCTGGCAATAGGTTGGAGGGGGCAGATTTGACAAAAGAAAACAGAGATGTATTGCCATGAGGATATGCAGATGCTCTTCATTTATGTAAGGACATTCTTGGAAGAAATCTCACATTGACTAAAAATATTACCAAATTATATTACATGTGAGTTTTATAGGATTGAATTATGACTGTACTGATAAATTTCTCAAGTCATTGTAGCCAATTTAGTATTTCTTTTGCCTTGGCACCAACGATGCTGTGTTTTGAGTTTTGTCAAAATTCAAGTTCAACTCTATATTCTTTGTCAACTTTGTGCCTATTAAATTGGTATGGGCTCCTTCCACCATGTCTCTCGGCTGCAGACGAGATGCGTGGGTGGTGAGGCTGACTACTGCAGTGTTTGCCAGAGACAGAACTACTCAAATAACTAGTGCACAGCCAGCTGCATCCGTGCTGGGGCTTAAGTCCAACATTGGAAATATGATATTTTAGTAGGGGGTTTATCTCTGGATTCTCCAAATGAGACAACTAACTTCTGTAGTTTAATTCTCCCAAGGTTCTAATTACAATCCATAAAAATGAATCGTAACTAAATAGCATAAGGAAGTTTCCCTACTATGGATGTTTTATCATGGCTTCTTATCAAAATTATTTCATGCACATGCAAAAGTCACAACTTAGTGCCTCGTGGCTGGTTAGAAAGACAAGCGCATATAAAATAAATGTTCTAGTAATGGCACCGCAATTGACAATGACAGCATATACACCAAATTACTAAGAGAATCAGAATTTGTAAACTTACACAACGTAGACATGTCCTCCCCAACCACTTAAACAATCACGATCTACAGACGATAGCAGTGCTTGGGAGATGGTCTCAAACAACTCCTCTGGTTCCTGTGTCAAGATCAGAAGCCAAGCAGAAAAATCTTAAGCTGCATCTCTTTAACAAACACCGAAAAAATATGACTAAAAAACCTTTGTAGTTAAATCACTAGAATGACAGTGGAAAACTCTGATACTGAAACCAAACGGAAAATCAAGGCAATATCAAAGCATTACTTGTCTCTTATATTTGTATCCCAGACTAACACAACATAAAACATCTCGTGCCCATCCAACAACCCCATAGTTATTAGACATTTCACTAAAGTTTATGTTTGGTAACCCAATTTGTCTCTGCAGTTACTTCCTCCCATACCAAACAAGATATCTCATGAAATTACTTGCAGAATAATTAGTCAATCTTCTTAAGCTTTAAATAAAACCCATGATGATTTGATTAATTATGTAAAGATGAATGATGTTCATCTGTTTGGATCATCCTTATAATCCAAACCAAACCAACCAAATTGAGTTGGATTTTTAGAAAAACTGCATCTAACCCAAACCAGACCAATCAAATTCAATGGTGATTAGCTTGGGGTGTCGATTTAAGATTTACAAATCCAATGAACCAAACCTAACTAAGTACAAAGTTTTGGGCAAAATTAATGATAAAATTATGTACAAACTTTTTGGAAAAATTATGTTCTTTTTCTTTTTCTCAATAGAATTTGGTATATCTGCACATAATTAGATCCAATTGATCCAAATACAACCAACCAGTTCTTGATTGGGTTGGTTTTGTTCTGATTTTGATCTTTTTTTCTGTCGAAAAACCCAAACCAATGAAATTTATTGGTTTGAATTTTATTTTCTCTCCAACTCCATTAAAACTCACTACTCAGGAACAACCCTAACAATAATAAAGTATCCATGTTAAAGTAACGTAAAACATGACTACATTGATTTGCATAATAATCACATTAAAGAGTTATCTGAAAGACAAAACAAGATAATCTTAGTGACCAACCATGTCAGGCTTAAACATTGACTCACAAGCACCATACAGGGACTCGGATGCAGTGCCAGAAACAACAAAATCTTTTGCAAGCTCCCTGCATACAAGAAAATTGTAAGATAAACAATTACATACATGCAGTGCATATGACGATATGCAAACTTAAAAGTTTATTTAATTTAAGTGAAAAAATGCATAAAAGGCAACATCATTTCTGTTTGATAAGTACAAAATTTTAGCTTCTAGTCTCACAAATTCCGTCCATCTCTATCACTTCTTTTTTGAACCACGCTGTTTGTCAACTACAACTTGCTTTTATCTTTTATTAGAGCATGTTTACTTCCAGTTTCATTTCTTGTTTTCCTTTTTCAATTACAAAGCTACCACCTTGTCTTCAATTCAGTTCTGTCTTCCAATAAGAAACACTAAATATAACTTTCCATTGGTTTTATCTGTACCTATACTAATCTTTGAAAACGGATTGAAAAGCAAATGATACTAACATTTGCAAGTTTTTACACATACCAGCAAGATCCCTCTACAAGATTTAATATGGACAGTAGTGTAGAAAAATTTAACTTACTTTGCTCCAAGACAATCCATTGTGCAAATGAATGGTTTGTCATCGTCCCCTAATCCAGCAATTACAGGCTGGCAAAAATATGGACCAAACCTGAAAAGCAAAAGATGAAAACTTGTTTTCACTACTATAAATTGGAGTTTATTAACAATTTAACATAACAAGAAACTTATGAATCTTATAGTTTACTGTGCTTTGTTGTAACCCCGTCTACAAACATGCAGAGGGAGCCAAAAGTAAATACAGAAATTAAGTATGGTTCAACTTCAACTTACAATGAGCTATTGGTCACACATTAAAATAATGAATTCAACCAAATGACTCCCCCCACACCATATGCTGAGTCAAAAAGGAGATTTAATCAAACCATCTTTAAACTAAACCTTCACATAGCACTGATAACTCAGTCTCATTTCAAAACTCTACACATTAAATTTCAGTTGCCAAAACAATTTAATGAGGATTTTACATCTTACGCAATAATAAAGCTTATCTATTGTAGACTAATTATCAAAACCCTGATTTTTTTGACAACGCTAAGTTTGGCACAACTTTTTTGACAAGTATTCTTTTTTAAAAACAAAACCAACCGTTGTGAGAGTTTTAACTTATAAGACCAAGTTTGGAAATATTAGCTTAAAAGCTCCCCCAACCCGCTTTCTTTTAGAAGAAATATGATCCTGAAGTGTTTCTCTCCAAATTTAGAAGAAATATGATCCTGAAGTGTTTCTCTCCAAATTTGTTGCCCGGCTTTTTCTTAAAAGAAAAGCCAAAACAACTGGGCCAATCATTGACTTAGTATGCTCGTGTGTGTAAAACATGCTCAAGTACACAAGTAACAAACTAGATTCCACCCCGGTTAAGTCCTGGTTTGTTTTTTAGTTATTTATTTAAGACCAAAATCTAGCTCATTATCAAATCAAGTCATGATTAATAGATAAACTACTTGAGTGGTAAAAATGGGAAGGATGAAGGGAAAATGGAAAACTATCTTGTTTTTTTAAGGGAACGCAAAAAATAGAAAGGAGTGTGCAACAGGTATTTTGCAAACGGAACTTCAGTCTCAGCTAAGTCCAGAAAGGAATATTTATCAGAAATATACTAGCAATACGCCCTTACCACATTCTTTTAAGTATGTTTTATTATTAGTTAAATTAATTTCAGAAACAAAATTGTATGTGTTCCACTTCCTATTTGACAAAAGCCAATTACCAGGAGTGTTACTATGTGTCTTGTTGGGGCTTCAGGAAAAAGACATACAAACACAGTCACTACTTAATATACCTCAATGTAAAAAAAATAAAAATTTAAAACCACCTTGCCAACTTGAAGGCAAACCGTGAATCATATACAAAAAGAAAACTACTTTACACACAAGGGTATCAATCAACTCAGCTAAAACTCACCCATAACAACCTACAATACTTCACTAGGAAAACCCCATTTGTAACAGCACCAAAAAATAAAAACTTACAACAAATATTCCTTCAAAAGAAATCCAGAACCGTTTTTTTTTCCTTAGACCTAAGCGGCGTTACCTTTTCTCATAGAGCAAGGCAGAGACCAAGCTGGCAAAGGTCTCCGGTTTCATATCCCTCTCTTCACGAAGCTGATACAGTTTGTGCCGGAAAACGAGACGCTGATACCTTAAAGTAAGTAATGGAAAACAAATACAGTCAAAAATAAGATTTGTGTTGGCAGAAAAGTAATGAATTGGGAAATCGAGAAGGGAGAGTAAAGAGTACAGAGTCTGAGCATCGGTGGCGAGGCCAGAGAGAGCGATGAAGAGCTTATCGTGAATCTTGGAAATGCGTTGGAAATCGGTGGCTATGGTTTGGAGCTGAACGCCGAGCCTTCGGTCGCTGGCAATGGCGAAGCAGTTCTTGCCGACCATGGCCACGACGGCGCTTCCGTTGTACTCGAAGATCGACATGCTTTGAATTTGATCCCGGCGAGGATGATGCAGATTCTTGGTTTGGGTTTGGGGTTAAACCGTAAAATAATGTTGGTATTTGAAGACGAAGTGCATCCCAGATTTCTTTGGGGTTAAGCCACCAAATAAAAATAAATAAATAGAAATAGATTTTGTTTAATTGGACGTTTTATAACTTAAGTAGTGTTATTTACAAATTTTACCACCCATGTTTACACTTTCGTGTACTTAGTTAAAAGTTAATTGTTTGTAGTTTATTAATAACGTGACAATTTCATTTATAACACTACAACATAAATAGGTAATTTAAACTAATGTTGACTATTATGCAAAATTTCTAATGAAGATAGTAAAATGTGTGAAAATAATATTAATAATAATACAAATAACAAAAGTGTTAAAATCAAGATAAGAGCTAATAAAAATGACAATGTTGATAGTATAGTTATTACATCTGAGTCAAAAACAAAGTGTTGCAAATCTCAATATTGCATTAACTTTTCAAGCTTGTTTTGTGAAGAAAGTTAGAATGAATTATTTTTTTAATAGTGATAGAAATATAGTCTTTTTCATGCAATTATTAAAAGGTGTTTTAATGTTAACCCTATACATTGACTGGTTGAGATAGAGAATTCTGGTTGGAGAATGCTAAGCCTGTGTTTTGAACTTGTATAAAGATCTCTAATAACATTCAAATTCAATATGATGCATTTTTATTTCACCATTTAGGGATGTTTTAGTTATTAATTATTATTTTTTTATTCAAATTTAGTTTAGAATAGAGTAGTTCTAGCTTTAATTCATCTTTCTGTTTTTTCGAGCAAACCAACACTTGAATACAACTAAAATTAAATAAATCTTGTTTCTACTTCAATATTTTTTTCTATTGTAGATTCATTCTAGAAAATAGAGGACGCAATGTCATTAATTTAGGATCAAATGTTTACAATGTTAGCTTTGAATCTACAAGAGTTAATCAATTTTCCTCATATTTTTTAGTTCATAATTTACATGTTGAGTTGATATATTTTGATTCTCTATTTTAATTCATTTCCATTTATTGTGTTTGGCGATTTTACTTCATTTTAATCATTAGTAAAAAACGGGGCTACTAACGCGCCCATTATGCTTCGGTTGGTTAGAAACCGAAGCATAAAATAAGGCGATGGTATTTTTGAAATTATTAGAAAAGTATATGTCTCGGTTCTATCTTAACCGAAGTCATAAAACCCACAAAAGTTGCTAAGAAAAGACTTTTCAGATGACAAATATCTTTGTGCAGGGTTTTTTACCTCGGTTATCCTCATAACCGAGGCCAAAATCCCCTGCTCCAACTGAGAATCCTATCAGCAGTATGACAAATATCTCTGTGCAGGGTTTTTGGCCTCGATTACTCTTAGAACCGAGTCCAACCGAGGCCAAAACCCCTTTGCACCACTGATATTCTCACTCTGTACTCTGACGTTTGAATTGACAGACTTTTTGAAAGGGAGCTATGGTCTCGGTTCTCCTTGGAACCGAGGTAAAAAGCTTCATTAAAATTACAAAAATGTCATTTAATATAATTTTTTAATTTTTTTCTGGGCACTTTAATTTTGTGGAGGGGTTTTGGCCTCAATTCTCCTTGGAGCCGAGGTAAAAAGGTTCATTAAAATTACAAAAATGCCATTTAATATAATTTTTTAATTTTTTTCTAGGCACTTTAATTTTGTGCAGGGGTTTTGACCTCGGTTCTCCTTGGAACCGAGATAAAAATGTTCATTAAAATTACAAAAATGCCATTAAATATATTTTTTTTATTTTTTTCTAGGCACTTTAGGCCTCGGTTCTTTATAAAACCGAGACGGTAAAGGCTTACTGCCTCTGTTAAAAAATAACTGAGGTAATAACATGTGTTTAGGTTTAAATTTCGCGAACAGAGGCATTTTTAGACAGAAGACCTTCGGTTCGGTTTAAATTGCGTTGCTGCTTCTCTCGCTCTTAGGGTTCTCTCCGCCAATGTTTTGTTCTCTTCTTCACTCCTCTGTCGCGACTTCACAAGAAGGGGGAAGCACCCATCTTCATCTTTTTCTTTTCTTCTTGTTTTGTTTCACCTGGTAGTGAGGGAGGCACAAACTTCTTTTTCCTCTTCTTTTTCTTCTTTCTCGTGATGTGGTAGCAGCGGCGCCTCCGCGAGGATTCATGTTCCGGTGTCTTCGCAGTGAAGGGAAGTCGCATCTGACTCTAGCACAAAGTTTAGGGTTTCTGACCTCGTACCGATTTGGGATATTTTTTTTGAATCTGATTCCTGTGTTTTGAGGCTAGGGTTTTGGATTAAGATTTGGAAATTTGGGGTTTCTTTGCTTGCAAAATTTTCTTGTAATTAGGGTTTTAATTGTTCTGGTTTTGGGAATTTCTGTTCGAGTTGGGTTTTTTTTTTTAAATTTCATATAAGAGCACGTGATTTAAAAAAAAATAAAGAGCTTTGACATCGGTTCTAGCCTGAACCGCTGCCATAGAACCATGTTATTACCTCGGGTGCAGAAGAACCGAAGCAGAAAACTTGGGGACATTATCTCGGTTGGAACCGAGGCCAAAAGTCCCCATCTTTTTACCTCGCCAGTATATGCCTTGGTTCGAAAACCGAAGCGTATTGTCAAAAACAACCGTTGTCGTTTCCCTTTGTTGCATTAGTGAATCTTTTAAATTCATTTTTCATCTCATCTTTCATTAAAATTTGAAAAATCAAAGATATTATAGCATTAAAAGCTATGAAACTCATATACAACTTCTTCGAAAGCGTCTTTGACATGTACGCACACACTATACATATACGATATGTTGTCTAACAAAGTGCTCTAGTCAAATGTGAGGCATTGATGGACAATGATATTCTGACTTTTTTTTAACAACAACACATGTCAAGCGATAATTGGTCCAGTTGGAAAAAAAATGAGGTGGAAAGTCCAAAATTAGGGATTTAATGAGTTTCATGTTCATACTTTCTCTTTTTCCTGTTTGGATTCAAAATTTCATTTTGAAAGTTAAGAGAGAGAGAGAGAGTTGTGCGAGAGTGCGAAAGAGAACCATCATCGCTACAATCATCGTCGTTGCAATCGTTGTTCGTCATCCCTACAAGCGTCATTTGTTGTCGTTGCAACCATCATTGGTTTCAAAGCACCATTGAAGGATGAAACCACCATTGACGTGGGTTTTGGAGGTTCTCATCGTTCATTTGAAGCATTGAATCGTCGTTCGTCTTTGCTTTCTTCTTCTTGTTCAGTTATTTGTTTTATTTTTTCAATTTTTTTATTTATTTTATCATTTTGGGGTTGTTGTTGAGTCTAATTTTGGCTCTTTATCTAATTTTGAAGTCGTTGTTTTGTGTACTTTAAGTATTCTTGCAATGGAAGAATTGGTGAATAGAGTGAACTTTGTCATGACAGGATGAATATGAAAATATTAATTATAATATTAATGTGAAAACGTTAATTATAATGTTAACCTAAAAATATTTATTCTAATGTTAATCTACAATATTAGTAGACTCAGTTCTATAGGAATGTTTGAATGTAAATATATTAATTACAATGTTAATACACCCCTAAGTTATGATCACCAAAACATACATTAAAAAATCAATTATAAATTTGTAGTATTGGTTGGGGACCAATGGTCAAATAAGTGGGGACTTATGTTAGTTTTTTGCACATGAAGGTAGACTAACTTGTACATAAATGTTTCAAACTTTAAAAATTGATAATTGATAACGGTAAATTTTACCATTATTTGTGGTGCAATTTTGATACCAAATCAACTCTCTTTGAGCTTGAAGCTTGTTTAATCTTCTCTTTTCTCTAACTTTTGTGAATAAGTTAGTCTAGGTTATACTTAGTGGTTTTCATCACTAATTCCCAAAATTTTGTAGGCAATTTGTGTGCATTGGAAGAGCATCAAGCTATCAAGGAGTTGGAACCCGGGAAAAATAGCAAAAGCACCAAACTAGAAGGCTGATGAAGGCTCGCAAGCTTGCCTGGGCGCCCTCTCTAGGGGCGCTGAGCGCCACTGCCTCGCAGTCTCGCCTGGGCACCCTCTCGAGGGGTGCTGAGCGCCATTGCTTCGCAAGCTCGCCTGGGTGCCCTCCTGTCTAGGCGTTGAGCGCGACACTTGCTGATGTGGCACCCTGGACCTATTTAAGGCTACCATGCAACGATGGTGCCATCTTTTGATGGCTGAAGCACGAACCTTAGAGTATTGGATCTCTTGGAGAAAGTCTGGGTGTGTGGGAGCTCTTCCTTCTTCTTCCTTGGGTCTCCATTGCTTTCCATTTCTTCCACTGTAAGCTCAAACTCTCCATGACAATGGATAGCTAACTTCATTTCTTGTTAGGGAAAGGTGTAACCTCTGAACTTCATGTATATGAACATGTTTTGAATATATTAAGCTTCTTTCATTGAATGTTAGTGGTATTCTCCTACTCTTAATGCTTGTTATGTTTTGGCCATTCATAACTTGATGTTTGGGTTTGTTTGTTATTGGAAGATAGCTCATGAACCATGACTCGGAGTAAGCTACCTAAAGGAAATAGTATCTAGAAATGGAGTTAGGACCTTTAGTTGTCATGAACTTCTTTTCTTAAGCAGAGATGATTATTAGGGTTTTCAAGAGATTTAAGTCTAATAACAAAGTTTAGGCTTTTTACACCAAGGAATTGGGTTCTAAGTAATTTAGTAAGTTGACATTAGCATTTTAATGAAGATGAGTTCTAATATGCGTGAAAGTGAAGTAGGTGAAATCTAACCCCAACATTATCATTCCATTGTTTCAAATCTCATTCATTTCCAAGTGTCTTTGGCTACAAAAGATCATTTTATTATTCACACAAGTTGTTTACTTTAAGTGCATTTAAACCTTACTTAATGGAATCATTCTTTAGTCTTAATTAGTTAAACAATTATATGATCGTTTAGTGTTACACGAGTCTCTTGAGAAATGATATTCGGTCTTACCGGTTTTATTACTTGAACGATTTGATACACTTGTCGAGGTCCTAACAATAATCAGGTCCATATACCTTTAAGTTAAACAAACTTGTTATATCATGACTAAAAC